GGCATAGATTCGGTTTGTTGTTACAAACACTTTTGAAATTTGTGACTTCCTCATTCACAGTATGAATGTAACTACTACGTGTCCGGTTGATAATCGAACTTACGTGAGACTGACTGAAAATCAGCCGAGTCTATATCTAATCTTATAACATGACTTTACACTGTAGCTAATATTGGCACAGCTGCTCTGGAAATCTCCCAGTGTTTACTGCAACAGCTTTACTGCATTTATACTTAAAGTAGGGGAGTGTAACTGATGAGTTTAATCTTTATCTTATAACTTCAGTCGAAGCATGTACAATTAGGCCACTGCTGATTCCACTGATGTCATGAGAGATACTATTTTAGCATTAGCCACGAGCCTCTAACAGAAAGCTAAAAAGAACATTTGCCAGAAAAATCAAAGGAAAGTATCAAAAATGACATAAAATGTCTGTTTCACCTTGTGTAGTTTTTTAAAGCAAAATAGTCACAAAGAATAAAATCAGCATCAACTAAGCAGTTACTACTGATGCAAGTCTAACGTTAGCAAGAGGCTAAAGTAGTTAATAAAACAGACAACTCAAAGGAAAATGAAACAGATGGAAAATAATTATGTTTCTATTTCTTTAAATATTCAAAAAAAGTAGCCAGAATCTAGCTTCTATACAGTAGAGCCGCCAACATTACAAACCCACTACAACTGCTGAGGGGTGGGGGCTTTGATTCTTTACAAAGTTATGAGTCTTATTAATAAAAGTAAAAGCGTCTCTTTGTGTTCATTGCAGAAACTTTTTTTTTTAAAGGATTTAGCGCTTTAAGCATCACTCAGGCTCTGAGCCTGGTTCTGCAGGAGGTTTCTACCTGTTATAAGGGAGTTTTTTCTCCCCGCTGTCGCCAAGTGCTTGCTCATAGTTTGTTGGATTGTTGGAGTTACTCTTAGTAATGTAGGGTTCTTATCTTACAATACAAAGTGCTTTAAGGAGACTTAGTCCTCATTTTTCTGTTGGTGAAATTCAAATCAGTGTTTTCCATCCTTGCTGAGACAGTAGGAGGTAAGAGAGAGGGAGAAAGAGGCGGTGAAGTTCAGATGACGATGGAAGATGAAGGCCCAGGCGGGCTTGTATTGATTATTAAGCCGTGCGCTTCGGCCCACGTGTTAGCGATACAGTAAGAGCCCACACAGGATTTTAGAAAGGAGAGCGAAGAGTGAGGAGCATCAAACACCGATGAGCTCATGTATTAAAACACACGCACACACACTGGCCAACACATGCGTGAGTTTGTCTCTGTAAAGTAAACCAGAGGATGAACTGCATTTGTTTTATCTCCCATCCTCTCCTCCTTCCAGCTCTACATCTGGTCTGTTTTAAGAGGGACTTTCTCTTTCTGTCTTATCGTGCTGTACGTGTTCACAAACACACACACACACACACACACACACACACACACACGGCCTGCTGACAGCCTCGTAAACTCATGTTCACAGTCAGCTTGCTTTATTCATCGGCTCGCGCTCGAGCTGCAGTGCAAACAGTCAAAGCTGCCTTCGATAAGTTTGTGCAAAGTTTGCAGAGCGAAACAGGCTCGCGACCACAGTGCAAATTTCCCATCATGCATCTGGCCATCTCTGTACCATCAGATGAAAGCATCCACAAACGTGTTAGATATTACAGAACAGTTTTTTTTATTGCGTCATTGGACCGATTTCCAGCCTTTTGTTTTTCACAGAATGTGTTTGATTCCACTGCCACGTGTAAAATCAAAACCAAACCCTCTTTATGCTAACTCTGACCGACGTCCTCACGTGGTTGTCTCTTTTCAAGTGTCGCTCCCTAATCCGTCGTAACTGGTAGGCACACGCAGCACAGTCTCACAGCAGAAGTAATAATGACTTTTAATCTGTTGATGTGTGCTCTAGGAAATTAATTTTCCCTTATTTGTTTCGTGTCTCTGAAGATAATTTTTCATCAGACCAGTCTCATGTGTGCACAGCCCAGCCCTTGTAAACAAAATGAATATTTTTTACTTTTAAATGGTGGGAAAACTCAGCTGCAAACTTTTGCAGCTTGTACCAGAGACCAGAGTTAAATCATATACATGCCAGATGTTTACACTTCTTTTCTGTTATTCTGCTTGAGCAGGAAAAACTGTATTGTTATTCAAATGACTCTAATTTGGTTTTACAGCTTTTCCTACTGATAAAGTCGTCTTTTTCATATGTTTAGATATCTCGGTGGTTAAATGTGCAGTTAAACTTCTCACACCCACAGAAAGACGAGTTTCAGTGGTCTGGTATGTATTTATGTATGTGGCCCACAGTGTAAAATGGGTTTGACGTCCCTGCCATACACAGGACAGAAGATGAATTACACTTCCAGGTCTGAAAAGAGAAGCCAACAAGGGAATCCCTTAAAGCTGCATTCTATTTTAACGACCACCAGGGGGCGAAAGCCGTGGCTGTAAAGGTCTTCCTGTCCAGTTCACTATGTTGCCCAAGGACACTTTGACACATGGAGTGGAAAAGCCAGAGATGACTATTGGTAGGCAACCTGCTCTATAACCTCAGCCACAAGTGCTACAGCACCAACATGCTTGGTATGTGTCGTATGTGGGGTTGGGGGAGCCAGGGATTGAGGCACAGACCTTCCAATTGGTAAACGACCCACTCTACCACATGAGCCACCCCAAAGAAACCAATGGGAAAACGGCCACTCAATTTGTGTTACACTGAATCGTCCACTTTGTACATTTTGTTATTTTAATGACAAATCCTTAATTACCAACAACAGAAAGAACATACTCCATAATACACGTTGGAGGTTATGAACTGATATGCATCTTTCTTTGGGTTTTTCTTATTTGGTCTTTTACCGATGCCATCCACATGTCTATCTTATAAGGGCCAGATACCAAGTGTCATGACATTTGGGCCACATCTGGCCCACCCAGGCATCTGCCATACCTCATGTCAAGCCTGGTTCGTTGATTCTTAAACCACATCTGGACCACAAGACATCTGCCAGAGTCATAACCAATCCACAACTGCCAGAATAGGTTCAAATGTGTCTGCTACACAGACCAAGCACGACACTCAAAGTTAGAAGAAAGGATGCTTCAAAACATGCCCAACGCCAGTGGATGATCATACTGACAGCACCCTTGGTAAGATGTCACTCAGTACATTTAATCAACTACTTTAGTAAAGTACCCTTAATATACATCTATTAAGGGTACAAGTGTGGATGGTACATGAGATCTTCAAGAAACTAAAGAAGTCCAGCGGTCTTCTTTCTAGGCACCCAGATACCTACACAGCGATACATTGAGTGTAACAATAAGTACTCTGAGAGCACAAACCTCTGCCAAGGCAGCTCACTCTGTGGGCCATATTTACTTTTAAGGGAACTCTATTGTATTTTGTATATATATTCATGAATGTACTTTAAGTTTGCAGCCTGCACTTTGCACGTGTAAAAAACAACTTTGTGTTATTTACCTTTAATATACCTGACATAATTATCAGTATGATAATTTATTATTACCTTTTTCTCTCTCTTAGCAATATTTTCCTTCAAGACATGACATATTTTAGAGGTCAACCTGAAAGAAGGGTACATGTGAAACCCAAAGGTGAGGTCAGAGGTCAAACGTGACATGATGTTTTACATCTTTATATGGTACTTTCTATAATTTGGACAACACACGCCACACTATCATACTGCAAGGCCTTGAAGTTGACCTTGAAGACCTTTTAATGTTAGATGACGTCACTCTACACCCCTGCAAAGATTTATCAGAATTCATTCAAAACTTTCTGAGCTACTGTGTTTGACACGATGACCATGTAAGCACGTGGTCAAAAGCACTGAATCCCCTTACTCATTCTTTACTTTTCCTTTAGCAAAGTCTTTAATCCTAACCCTCATTTCAGCACTTTGCAAAACACATATTAATACAAACTGATGTTTAAACTTCAAGCAGCACATCTGTATTTGTGCCCAGGGCTGCAGGTGAGCCTGAAACATGTGCCTGCAACAGATTTCCAGAACATCTTGGTTTCTCTGATAACTAAACACCAAATATCTAAATCTTCTGCTAATCTTTCACTTATAAAATCCACAATCTAGAGTAACCTGTTAATGAGACTCCAGCTTTCACAGCTCACATCTTGGCTCACCTGATGACGCACATGATTAATAGTGGGTCAACAACCACCTCCTGGGGGGAAACCCCCACTAGGGTTTAGATACTTGAGCCTCTCCGCTTTTTGGTTTTAGAACTGAAGAAACATCTTCAACAAACTTATGTATGTCGCTTTTTCCAAGCTCTTAGGATCAGAGTAGAGTTTCCCCTCCCCGGGAAACAGTTACACGCCTCTGCTCACACATCGTTCACGCAAGCAGAGGAGCCGGCAGCTGAGGTCAAACTGTGTTTACAGATAAACAAGAGGGAAGACCACAGCGACAAAACTCTAAAACACTCATGACATCCACGCATTTTCACCCACTTCACATTCCACTCTCCACACCCACAACGTGCTGCTTTCAGGGGCATCTGGTAAACTTGCACACCCCTGAGCCAAAGTCGCATGCCGTCCCGAACAGCTATGAAGCCTCGGTCACTGCCGAGCGGACATGAACTCCACCTCCTCAACCGTCACGTGTCAGCAAATTAAATCAAACATGTAGTTTCATCTTCCCAAAGTGACCTGCGGTGTGTCCCGCAGTAACTGAAGGCAGAGCGCTCTGCTGACAGCTGACAATAACAAACCTCACACTCGCTCACGCGCACGTGCAGGGCTGGCCCTCTGTCACTGTGGAGACTGTCACAGTGAAACCCCAGAGTGTCAGAGCGCGCGCTGACTCCACAAAACTTTCACTCAAGTCACCACACACAAGACTAAAAACAAACCAACAAACAGCTGAGCCCTTCTGCAGGAGTGAGCGCAGGTGTGAGCTCCGTCAGCTCAACTTAAGCGTCTTCTTTTTTTCTTTTTTCTTTTTTTTTTATCTCTCTTACTTCTCGGTGGAGGTTTGCTGACCAGCTCTGCGACGTGCCTCTGCAGTCGGACCACTCTGCCCTCCAGCGCGCAGGACCGGTGGCAGATGGACACAAGGTCTCCCTCCAGCTCCTCCAGGATGCTCACCGAGTGCCGGGACAAATCCGAGAGCTGTCGGAGCACCGAGCACAGGGTGAAGCTGCACACGTCCGCCAAGTCCCCGAAAATCTCCCCTTGCTCCTGCTGGTGCTGCAGCCTCTTGCCGTCGGGCTTGCACACATCTTTCGGAAATATCGTGCGTTTACAAAAAGGCATGATTTCTCTCTCCCGCCTCCTCTGATTCCAAAAATATCAAACTCCTCAGACAGTCAAGTTATATCCCCGTTGATCTTCTCCCTCCGGGTGGCGCACAGCCACACGCCACGGATCCTCCGGGAGGTAAAAGTGCGCTGCTGGCTGAGCGGCTCGGAGCGAGTTGCGCGTCGTGCGCCCTCATTGTTTTTGACTGCAAGAATTTTTTTTTCTATTTTTTTCAGTGGAGAGGAGAGAGTCGGCTGCTGCGAGGACTGTAGTCAAGATCGGAAGAGTGTGACAGACGAGATTTCCTGTTAAAGCTTCAAAATTAAAGCCCGAATTTACTGCGTTTCTTATCGGGGACTCGCACATATAAAACCCCTGAACCGAATAGTTTTATGCAGCTTCAGCTTCACGTATAGAAACATGGTTCTGTTTTATGAGACCTTTTTGCGCTGTTATCGCCACTTTGTTAGCATTTCTTTTACTCTTTACACCCTTTTAATATTTTCAAACATGCTTTTATTATGAAAAGATTCACCCCGCGTCAGATCTTTTTATGTCGGGCTTGACGCAGCGACACAGTGCGCAACAGTCTGGTGTTTCCCTTGGAGGAAACCTGTCTGATGGAGGGAGAGATGAAGAGAGGAGGAGTAGGAGAAGAAGATGGAGGAGGACAGAGAAGGGGATGGATCAGCTCCTTCATGCAGCATCACCGCAACCACCACCACAATGCGCGTGACTGCCTTGTCTGTGCCCACGCGTGCATGTGCAAAATCGAAATAATCGAAGCGAGTGGGAGCTCGTGTCCGAAAACTTTTGCGTTCTTCCTTTCCTCACTTTATGTTTGGGGGAGCTTGCGTGGAGAGGTGTTAAGCTCAGCCACATGCAGCACCTTGCAGACTGTGAGCCAGAACACACCCAGGGTAGTCTTCACTGACTGCAGCCAGGTTTTTAACATGTGGAGCAGAGGTGCCAAACATGAGGCCCGAGGGGACCAGAATTGGCCTGGCAAAGACTCCAATCCGGCCCACTGAAAGGCTTTTGAAAACGTGAAGGAGAGCGTAGATTTTAAACTTTAAATTGTATTATCATAAGTTTTAAGCTTTTCCTGCTGATATCCCCCTGCTGATATACAAAATAATTAAGATAAATCATTAAATAACAGAGACGTTTTAGGTGAATTAACCAAAACATTGTGTTTCATAAAAAACAGGAGAAAGTCTGGGCAGTGAGCTACTAGAACTGTTTCTGTAACTCTACATATTTATTGTGTAGAAAAACTGAGACAAAATGCTTAAAATGCACTTTTTTTCTCTTTTATATTAAGATATCCCAGGGATTAAATGTTTGGTTTAACCTCTGTAAGCAGACTGAGAGGGGAGTTTCAGTGGTAGGAGGCGCTGACTTTGTTTACCTATTAAAATGGCAGCTGAGTGTAGGCATGAAATGTTTTTGGATTGTCCAGTAGCAGTTTTGACATCAATTGGCCCAAAAATGAAGATCAAAATAAGAAGCAAGATTTCTAAACAGAGCCAAACGTGTCAGCGGAGGCTGTGCGGAGTGAAAAACGAGGTCGCTTTAAAGAACTGGGTCTCAAAATGAGGAGGATACAAAAAACTGAGGAACAGAAATTCCCAAGTCAGACCGTCTCACACCCCCCACATCCCCAAATCTTTCTTCTCCATAAGCTGAATACATGTGCAGACCTCCGCTCCAGACCCAGATTTCCAGATGGGGACACAGCAGTGCTCAAACACATTACACATGCCTAACGTCATTTTATCTGAGCCAGCAGGTCGTTACAGTGACAGCTCAGATCACGAGTCCTTTGTTTCAGTCGTCTAGTCTCACAGATGTGAGGACTGATTTTTTAGAGTACCTGGTTTGACACAAACAGTACTTTCTGCGAGGGTCCATTTGTGCCAAAACTATGTTCGTGTGTCAGGATTTTTGGCCGAACTTTAAGAGTTTTTAAATCCACTGAATTTTTTTAATTTTGGAGGCAGGCTGCTTCAGAGAGAGAATCGACCATATATTTTACCATTTGATCTTTGGCCCTACCCTCACCTTTGGTCACAAGCACTGGGTAGATGGACGGATGGGAAGAGATAAAGGCATGAATAATCATCTCAACTTCAGCCTTTGACACCAGACTTCTGAGTTTTTAAATATCCCCATAATGATAAAACTGTTCTGAACCAGCTGTTTGCAGTGATGATCAAACTGTCAAAAACGACACCCAAGTTTCTGAAATCACACATTCAGGGGCAAAAAACAAAATGTGTTCAGTCAAAACTGAAGTGCAGTTCAAAGTCGAAAAGAAAGTCAGAGTGTAGCTATGGAAACATAATTTTGGCACAAATGGACCTCCATACTAAACTCCATCTGATGCCCGCTGGAGGAGGATGGAGAAGAAAGCTCAGATATTTTCACAGATTTTTCTTTCTGCAGTTCTTTGACATTAATATGAGTCAGTGTAAGCGCCGCCCTGTTACCCATCTAACAAAAACAAGATAAATTCAAATAACCGAGCTGCTGCTGCTGTGCCGTGTGATTAAAAAGTTAAAGATAATTCAACACAGAAACGATGTAGGTGTGTTGGGTTTCTTCTAAAGCGTAGCCTGAGGCCTCATATAGCAAACACAAATATCAGTGGGTGTAGTATTTTAACCCCAGTGGGATCTTAATATTACACCTGCACATCGCCATTTTAACATCAGCAAACAGAACTAAATATACTCCACTTAGGTGGGTGAGTACACCGCCCTGGAATTCCCTAGGAGATTTATATATATATTTGGAGATTTAGCAAAATCTCTGTGACACCCTCAGAGTCTATCAACAGTCCAGCATATCCACCTCACAATCAGACATGTACTATTAAAAGCTTTTTTATAATTAGTGCACATTGGAGCCATTCTTTACAGAAGGCAAATTAAAAAGTACACAGGGGTGTACTTTTTAATTTGCCTTCTGTTTTCCAGCATTTCCGAGCCCTTATACCACCTTAAGTTCTTGTGAAATTCTCAGGGCTGAAAAAGAAGCTCTGTAACCACAACCAAATTCATTTTACACCCACTCCGAGCGTCGCGCTCTGAAGACAAAATCTGATTTCTGTTCAGTATGATTTTCCTGTAACCCACTTTTGAGCATCAGTATCATGGGATGCATCATAGTTTCAGCAGCAGTTTAATAGTCATGATGTAGAAATAAGGTCTAGAAACAAGCATTGGTTCCCTGCATGTTTGTTCTGTTTTCTGATCATTTACTGGAGAAATATAAAAAACAAACGAGGGGGGAAAAAAGCATTTTGCAAGTTTTGCGGATTTCACCGCAGCACACAGCGGGGCTTCCTTTTAACCTTAACTTCAGGCATATCAGTCTGTCCGCTTAGGAAGCAGAAACCACTGCGAGTGAGTCCATTTCAGCTGGTTTGGTGCAAATGAAAGCAAGAACAGGTTCTGCTTTGCACTCTTGCCTCACAGTAAGAAGGGTCGGGGTTTAAACGTGTGTGTTCTTCACACACTCTCTCCGGGTAGTCTGACTTCCTGCCAAAGACATGCATTTGGGTGAAATGGTGATTCTAAATGGCACATAGCTATGAACGGTTTTTATCATTTTGTATTAGCTTTTCAACAGTCTAGGGTGTCGCTTTATGGCAGCTGGGATATGCTCCAGCTCCTTTATGACCCTGAATTGGATAAAAGGAAGAAAATGGATGGGTTGGAAATGAGAGGCAACAACAGCGCATTGCTCTCTCTGATCTCAGGTTGCACGAGTAGTCCTCTTTCTCCAGGATGGCACATCCCCTCATAAGTACTGGTATGAGAAAGTTAGCTGCGTCTCGAGAGTGTGGAGGAGATACCAGGAGACAGGCTGTTAGTGGAGGAGAGCATAGAAGGGTTTTAAGTATCAGCCTCCTTGAGTGAGCCTTGAAAAGCCATACAAAATGACCTCCAGCAGGTTGCTTTGTATGATTAAACAGACTCAACAAGGGTGGCACGAGGTCCTGACGTCCTTTAGTGGGACCCGCTGCTCACAGCCCACCCAAACACCATGCGGTTAGACGGGGATTCCCAGACAACACTACAACTGCAAATCCACCACCCACTCTCAGGTTCATTTTAAAGACACATGACAGACACGAAACAGTCTGGAGATTGTGCTGCCTGTGACATCATCAACCAAAACTTCTCTTGGATATAATAAAACTGGAGTAATAAAGTGGCACGGAGCTCCAGGAAAACACACGCGGCATGGAAAGAAGCTGACTTCCCCTCACGCTGTCATGGGCGTGAGCCTCTCCTTGGGGCTAGATGGACACTTTCCACTGCAGGGTGATACTTTTAGCAGTTGTAGCTCAGTGGAAACAAAACCCGTCGCCCACAAAACTGTTCATGAGGAGGTTTGTAGTGACCGAATCATGATTTTTGGAGCAAGACAGCGCCATTATATTCAAGAGAAGGCAAACATCTCTGCAGCTCAGATCTCCAAAACATGATGGTGTAGATAGTGTGAAAAGCCAGAAGACTTATTCATTTGCGTGATCTGACGCTTCAGCTATGGCCCCGTTTTCACCAGTTTCCCACGAGTGTGACCCGAGGTCAGAACTTCCACATAGGAAAAGGAGTAGGTTACTCATCAGATGGCTTACACAACACAGGCATGAGATCCTGATCTGAAAGAGGGGGGCGTGTCTTTTCCTGCCCTTTTTCATCGCCTCTGAACACAACCCGAGCGCGAGCCAAGCCTCTCTGGTCAGCCAACATCATCATCTTCACAAAGCGGATTCCTCTACCCCGCCGCAGAGTGACAAGAGGAGTGCAGAGAGAAGAAAAAAACAAACAAAAGTGGTCAGAGTATCCCTTTAAGAAATCGCATCTTTGCAGGAGCCTCTCGGGCACATGATGTGGCCCCCTGGACTCTGAGGGAGAAGGGCGGAGGGGACTTTCAGCTCCATCTCTGCCTCTCTGGAGCCGTTTTCTTTTCTTTTTTCTTCTTCTTCTTCCTTTTTGCTTCGCAGTTGTTTTCCCCCAGCCAGCTGCTCGCATCCTCCGCCGTAAATCTTGCAGTTTATAATTTGTCCTCCGTTCACCTCCTCTCATGAGAAATGACGCATCGCAAGTTGAGGGTTTATTTCCAAAATGAGATTTGCAGAATACTCACTGTGATTAATTTGAGAATTGCTTTAATGTGTCTTCTCCCAGTGTTCTGGAGACCTTTTATCCACAATCTGATGCTTCTGCGTCCGTGCA